GGGACGGGGAGGCTGCCAGGACGGAGGCTGCCGCGGGCAAACAGGGAGGGGGGGAAAAATGTCTGTGCAGGGTGTTGGGGTGGTGGTGGGAGGGTCTCTGGCACCCGGCGCCTGTGGGAGCCCTCCCCGTGACGATGGCAAGTGCCTGGGGGTCCTGGGGTCCGGTGGGACGGTGAGTGGGAGTTCTTCTTCCCATGCTCAGCTGATGCCCCCGGTTTTGGGGCGCTGGAAACCAGCTGTGGGCAGGATGGTTTTCCCCGTTCCCCCTTGCTAGCGGGGTTCGCTTGGGGGACTGGCAGCAGCAGGAAAATCCCAAAACCCACCTCCCCCTCGGGCGGTCGCCTCCACTCCTTGGTCCTCGCTGCTTCTGTCCCCTCTGTGGAGGATTTCCACTGTTGTGGGGGAGAGCAGATGGTGCCCCGGTGCCTTTGGGATCCCCGTTTCTGGGGATGCGGTGGATTGCGCTCTGATGTGCAGTGTGGGGAGAGGAGGTGGGGAGGGAATTAAACAGCATGTGTGGTCCTGCAGAGGTCTGGGCCTGAGATGCAGGAAGCTGAACCCTGCTCCTCGCTTGCTCCAGGGAGCAGCTGGGACAGGTCTCAGAGCATTCCTAGGCTGTCCCGCAGTGGTCCCTGCGTGCTGGGGCTGGGCTCTGCCTGAGCAGCGATGGGGACAGGGAGACAGCACCACGGCTGCAGCTCAGCTGGGCTCAGGCTGGGTTGTTGCCTGGCTTGTCCAGGTTTTTGCCTCTGTGTGAGTCTCACCTGTCTTGGGAAAGCAGCAACACGAAAGTACTTCGCAGCTGGAAGCATCCGTGCGGCTCCGATAGCACCGGTGGTGCTGGAAATGGTCAAACAGATGTGGCACACAGGCGCGTTCAGTTAAGGACTGTGGTTTTCACTGGTGTTGCTGGCAGCAGGGTCTCTGTCTGCTGCGATGTTCCCTACATCGCTGCCACCAAGCCTTTGCTCCATGCCCCGTGTGCGAGGGGACCCGAGGCTCCGCAGTCAGCCTCTCCTGCCCTCGCCCGCCACTGGCTTGTCTTCGGAGCGGTGCAGATTTCCTCTAGCCACTGTAACCTCCCCTCTGGCCATGCCCTGCCTGCCTGCCTGCCTGCTGCCCCGGCCATCGCCTCTGCTCGCTGTCCCTGGCTGGTGACAGGGTGGTTCTTGGTGGCTGGGGCCAGCGAACCCCTGCTAGACAGGGGAGAGGACGAGCATGGGGGGGCTGCAACAAGTTGCTTATCAGAGTGACTCTGGAAAAGATTAGCCAGGGAGAGATAAGCTTGCAACGCCTTAATATTGTTAGTAAGCAGTAACTGTGCATTATTATTAGCTCAGATGATAGCGCAAGTGCAGGGTGGGGAGGCGTAATCTGGTTAGAGCCTAGGAACCACCCAAAGGTGGTGAGACAGGGCAAAAAAAAAAAAAGGAAGAAAAAACACCATTTCTGCAGGAGATGGGAAGAGGGAGCACGCCGAGGAGCTGCTGGCCACGGGCACCCCCCAGATCTGGCGTCGGATGTGCCTCGCTGCAGACTTTCCGTGTGGGACACGGTGACGCGTCCCCGCGTGCTCTCTGCGATGCTTGGGGACACGGTCCCGCCTTCCCCCGGCAGCAACCCAGCTCCTCTTGCCCTCCCGGCCAGGGCAGCGGGGCTCCTGCCGGCAGAAGGTCTGCAGAGGGATTATATTTAGAAGAAAAGGAAGAGAGGTGGTGATAAGGAGGCCCCTGTTATCTCCCCGCATGCCGAGCGGGGCTGCAGTCAGGTCCCGTCTCTGTCGTTTCGGACCCAGGAAATGATTTGGGAAGAAGCTGCGGGCAGGCAGGCGGGAGCGGGGAGAACAGCCCGGCATTGTCCCTCCCGTCCCCGGTGCAATTAACTGGAAAACAAGACGAGGAAAAACGAGCCCAGAGC